GAGTCCTACCACGTGGCCCTGATAGGACCTTGGCGTCGGGCTCTTCGTGCGCCATGCGTCCATATAGCGACGAGAGCCATTCGCAACACTCGGCTTTGCCAGCATTGTGGCGCGTATGGTACGACGTTGTGTCCAGCGTGGCGTCCATCGGAAAGTTCAGATCGCCACCGACGATGTGACGACTGTTGGATTCGAAATCGCGGGGAAGCGTCGCAAAAAAGGCAGCTCGGAGCTCTGCCTCAACTGCCGCGTAGACGTTGTCCGCATGACGAGGTAGCGGTCGGGCACTCGGTGAGCCCAGAGCGGTCGAAGGGTTGTGAAACCCGGCATGGACGAGTGAAAGAACGTTGCAACGCCCATGCTGCGGTGGGGTTGGGGGCATGTGAACGACTTGGGATGGTCATTCACAAAGAGTAGGTACTGCTTGTAGCCGACATGGTTGGTAATATGTCGGCGGATGGTGCGGAAGTGGTCTTGATTTTCGATTTTGGTTTTTATAAAGAAGACACACGAGGTGATGAGTTTGCCGAGCGCAGCTGCAGGGATTTCGTTGTGCAGATTGAATCCTTTGAAGTTGCAGGAGGTGATGGAGACGGTAGAAGCGCCACCAAGAGTCGGTCGCCCAGCAGGCTTAGCCGTCCAGAGGTGTGGCCGTGTCCGTCCACAGCCCCTCCAGGTCTCCACGGGTCAGGGCGTTCGTCAAAGGATCTACAATTGGCTGTTTGGATGCCGCGATGTCCAGTGAGAACGACTGATCGGGCGTGACCATCTTGTCCACATCACGCGTCCATCCCGCATAGACGCTCGCGAGGTCGTGCCAGGCGGTGTCGGCTATGGGATCCCGCATTGCCGATCCAGACAGGCACGATGTATAGAAACGTTGGATCAACACCTTGGTTGAAGACCAGATTTGTTCCCCAAGGGTGGATCACATCAGTGCTTGGTGAAGCGTGGAGGATGAGAGGTAGCGAGAGCTACCTCTAGTGGTAATCGAAAAGACTGGGCCCGCCAGAGTTGCGTTGAGGGCCGCATCGCTTGTGTAGAAAAGGGGGGCCATGTACGCCACACGACTTCGGCGAGTGCGAAGATTACGTCGGTGTCGGTGCATTGGACAAGGAACTCGTCCCCAATGTCATCCGTCGTGTAATCCTCAAGAGTAGACGACCCCGCGAGAACAGCGAAGTCGGCTTGGAGGGACTGCAGCGAAAAGGCATGGTGGAATACGCTGCTGTAGAGCTGACCAAAAACGGAGCAGTCCCCCAGGTGACTCGCATCCAACGGCAAAGCACTTGGAGGTGAACCAAGTGAAGCAGGAGGTCCGAGCGCTGTGAGCTTGCGGCCGAACCGGATTGGGTGGGATTGCAGGTATTGGTGGATCCTGTCGGCGTCGCCGTCCTCAATCAGCTCAGCGAGATTAAACACAATCTTGGCATCGCCCACGATGAAGAGTCGAACGCAGCTCGCGCAGGCGTTGACTTCGCATCGAGGAGAGTAAACTCTTCGAGAATCGCGTTCAGAGACATTTCGACTTGGTGACCGAGTGCCTCACAGGCTTTGTCCCACCAACGTACGTGTTGGTGGGAAATACAACTGGAGCGTCGGCAGCGGGGAGAATGGACGGGAAACACATGCGTGCGTCGCCTGCCTTGTTGGTCGCCTGGGCTGGTGCGACCACGATATGTTCAGTGCATCGAACATGTTGGGTGACGTCCACGGACGTGCAGTAGTTGCGGAACCCGGAGCGTGATGGGACGACGGCTGGCGGGGAACACTGACCCATGTGGTAGGTTGGGGTGACTGGACACATGTGCGTTTGCTGTTGCCACTTGGGCGTCCGGTTTGACGCGGCGACGGGCTGGTGGGTTTCGTGATGCGCTTTCCTCTTGCAGTAATGTCCAAGTCGATATGCTGGTAGCCCTTCTTGTGGCTGTACCACCCTTTGCCATACACCCTGTAGTACTGCCCCATGAAGATAATCTCGTCGATGAGTCAGCCGCTGCTCGTGAAAACTCGAGGAGCTACGTCCGAATTGAAGAAGAGACAGTAGTGCGAGCCTCTAGCACCAAGCGCCTCCGACACTTGGGTGTACTGGCCCGAGATAAAAGGAGGAGCGTCCAGAGCAGCAAGCACTTCCCAGAGGTTACGTTCCACAGGACATCGTGAACGAAATTGAGAATGTCGACGTGAAAACCGTCGAGAGCGTGGGGT